GTGTGTGTGTGTGTGTGTGTGTGTGTGTGTGTGTGTGTGTGTGTGTGTGTGAGTGTGTTTTTCCTGAATTCGGCAGCTGACTCCAGCAGTTCCCAAGTGATCCTCACCGCTCAGGAAGTAATCAGAGTCAATACATTCTTACTTCCATTCTCACCATTCCCTCTTTGGATATTTTTAGTTTGGATTCTCTGTAGGTGATTGTGAAGTTTGCCTGTTGGCTGAAGTCAAACATTTTTTCCCCTTTCTGGCTACTTGGCTAATGATTTAAGTGGTTTCTGAGGGATTTGTGGACCTTTAAGAATGAATGTTCTGTGAATCTGACATTTTTCAGATTGAGGGGATTCATTTGATTTATTGAAATGTTTTTTGTCTAATTTCACTGGAGTCAGTAAACACACTGCTCATATTTTCCATACCTTTTTTCCATCTTCCAAATGAATTGAATTATTGTTATTAATATTATTACTGGGAGCTGTGCTATTAAAGAACAAGCTGCCTTTTAAGCCGATAGTTTAGCTCATGAGATGAATAAAAACATTAAAGCTTTTAAGCTGAGTGTGTTTCTAATGTAAAGGGAAAATTCCCCCCAACGTTCCCCAGAAGCCCGCGGGGCGTCAGGACGCTAGGAAGCAGGAAATGTTCCTCCAGATTTTTATGAGAAGATTTACCCGCCACGCCTCTAAGAAGAACGATCAGAAAAGTGCTGAGTTTAGATGCAGTTCTTCCAGATTCAGCCAGATCCAGTAAGCCTGTGAAGCCCTAAAAGTGTCAGCGCCACCACAAATACTCCATTAAAGTCACGTTTGTACTATCAATAAGGATGAATCACGAGTTTCTGAAAAAACTGCATCCTGAGCTGAAAGTTCTGCTCCACATGTCCACAAAAAGAGCAGTTTGTTTGTTTGTTTGTGGCTTTGCCTTAAAGCCGACGCAGGACTGGGATGCCTCCAGTTAAAGGAGATGAGAAATAAAAGCAGAAAATGAGAAATAAAAGCAGAAAGCCTCAACAAACCGGCCAGCATGGAGAAAAAAACAAACCGTTTTTAAGCTGTTTTCTGTTTTTAATGATTTCTCTGGAGGAGTGTGGGAAGTGAGATGATACTTTTTAAAATGCCCCCGAGTGCTTTCCTCTTTTTTTCTCTCCCGGTCTTTGTCTTCTTTTCCTTCTGTGTTTCATCATCAGGTTTGTTTGGAACACATCTGCGGACCATCCACATGTAAATACTTTAAAGTTAACAGAGCAGCCTTCTGCTGGGGATGGAGGCAGATTACACTGTGTGTGCGTGTGTGCGTGTGTGTGTGTGTACCTCCTTTATTTTGTTGGGAATGGGTGTGGGAGAGAGAGTGAGGGGGGGGGCTTTGAACAGCTGTTTCGGGGTCCGCGTCATGCGGTGCGAGCTAGTGTCATGGCTGAGTGTTTGCACGCTATGCGCACGTATGTGCAGAGGCATGCTGCAGGGACCCCCAGCTGAAGGCATGGCCAGACGCAGACATCATGTTCCTGCTCGGAGAGATGAGAGCAGCCGCTTTGTTCTCTCAGGCAGCACGCCGGTCTGCCTGAGAGGAGGAAGACATCAAACCTGCTCTCCGTTGTCAGGGACCCGGCCCCAGTGGGCTCCAGAACCCGGAACCTGGTGCTCTGGGTCTGCACCCAGTTCAGCCTTCCCACCTCAGACTGTGTCTGGAAGGAAGTTATGTAAAAAAAAAAAGAAGACAGAGATGGTGTGAAATGTGTGTAGTTTTAATTAGATGGTGTAGAGGGAGAGTTGACATGGCTGTCTGAGTGAGAGGGAGGACTGTGGTGATCAGAGCTGATGGGAGATTGGAGATGGAGGCTGTGGAAAGTTGGACTTTTGTTCTCATTTTTCTGTGTGTGTCTGTGTGCTGCAGGTGTACGCTCCGTCGGCCAGTACAGCCGACTACAACCGGGACTCGCCGGGGTATCCCTCCTCCAAGCCTCCCAGCGCTGGATTCCCAAGTTCCTTCTTCATGCCAGGTATTCAAACACACACACACACACACATACACACGCACACAGGCAGGTTCTACCTCTCATCACACACCTGCCACAGATTCCTGAGCTCTGTGAGCCTCCTGGGTAGCTGAGCAGCATGGATCCCCCACAGGTAGACAGAGGGCGCCCCTTTAAAGAAAGAAAAGTCGACGTGAGTGTGGCGGGGCAGAGACTGAGGCGGAGCGCTATTAGAGGGATTTCCTGAAGATTTGTGTCCAAGCTCAGGTCCAAGGGATGTGTGAGCCCTCTGTAAAGAGGTTGTAAATGTTCGGTGTCAGCGTGAGGATCGGCTGTGTCAAACGCCAATAAAACACGGCGAGCTGTGCAGCTCGTCTTCTGTGAAGGCCTCTGATTGGTTGTTTAAAGGCAGACCGGTAAAATGACTCCGGTTCCTCAAGGCTGTACTCCCCTGTACTTCAGATCAGATCGGCCTGAGACAAAGCAAAAGCTCCTCCGGTAACAAGCTGTCACAAACCTGACTCCCCAGCCAAAAGGGGGAGGGGGGTTACCTGAAAGCGACACGCTTTTGGGACATGCACAACAAGTGGAGACTTGCTTTTTGAATCGGGGCCACTCTTCATCGCTATCATGTGATGGACAGCTGGGCCTCGGCGGGTTTGGCTGCTGGACTCAGGTTTCTCCTCACTGCTCAGCGTATTTCATACACATACATTTTATGAGGTGCATGAGACAATCTCAGAGGGTGGAAATCGTTACAGAAATCAGGTTTGTCCACACAGGTCTGCGTTAACGGAATTAGTCCCATCACCCAGGACGGAAGCCAGGTGTTCCATTTACATGGACGCTTTGTGAAATCCGGTTAGAGCACAAAGTGGCTCATATTACTAAACTGTGTGTGAGTCACAGGGGGGTCTGACAACAGAAAGAAGCCCCCAGATGTTTCTTCTCTGCCACAGAGCAGCACATCCACGCCGGATATTTACACACAGTCAAAGAACGAATTGCATTTTCCACTTAATTCCTGCTCTTGAAGGCATCGCTAGTTATGAGGAAATGAGGCAGGAGGAGGCTGTAGTCGCCTTAACTTTTCCTGTGGAGAGACTAGAAGTGGATTCACACCTGGTGCACGTGTCCGTTGTAACCTGCCCTGTGTGTGTGTGTGTGTGTGTGTGTGCGTCCATCAGATGGTCACCACAGCGGCGATCCCTGGAGCAGCAGCAGCAGCAGCATGAGCCAGCAGGGTTACCACGGCAGCATGCTGGGGGGCGGGAACTCCGCCCACGGCCCCCCCCCAGAGCTCCTCCTACTGCGGGATTCACCCCCACGACAGACTGGTGAGCCGGGTGTCACTCAGAGCATCTGCACACGGGCGGGGGGTTATTTCAGGAGCCCCCAAAAAAAGGAGGAATCCATGTAAAAGCCATACGTTACATCATTCAGCAGCCATTGGACGTATCTGAGAACGCTTCACATGCCGGGTCTGTCCACTTCTTCTCAGCCGGCTGAGTTTGGGGAATTTTGTGTGTGTGTGTGTGTGTGTGTGTTTGCACATCTGGATGCAAGACGCACTCTTATACGTCCCGCACACACGCAGAGCAATAAATCTGTCACTAGGCTGCAACTCTGCTCCAACCCGCTCCGTCCTCTCTCTCTCTCCGCAGAGCTACCCCTCACACTCATCCGCAGACATCAACTCCAGCCTCCCCCCCATGTCCAGTTTCCACAGAGGGGGGGGCGGCGGCGGGGGCGGCGGTGGCGGGGGCAATCACTACAGCACCGCCTCCTGCACGGCCTCCACCAACGGCACAGACAGCGGCATGGGTAAGCTTCAGAGAAAAGGCCAGACCCCGTGGCATCCGTTTGCTGCCTAGCAACCATTTCTAGCATCCGGCTACAGTCGCCTTCAGTTTTCTCTCCGGCCGACGGCGTCAGGATTAGCTTCGGGTTCGTTCAGACCTGGATTATCTCAGCATGAGGATGGCTTTTAACCTTTAAAAACAAAGTGTGCTTCATGTTCCAGTCAAGTGGTGTTTTCAGTCAAAGCCCAGAAGCAGCCCCTTTTTCTTTAGCTAGGTGGGCTGAATCTCAGAGCTGTAGACGACTGGACCTTGAACTTACTTTGAGACTTGACCACCTGACTTGACGGTAACTCTTTAAGGTGAAAACGTTTGACTCAGGTGACCATGAGTATTTTCCGTTTAACGACCGGACTAAAGGACTGGGATACTTCCCTATGACTTCATTATCTTTTTCTTTTTGGTTTCAAAAGCTCTGCTGGATGTAAGCTTAAAATCAACTCTGCTGTTTGGTTTTATGGTGCCTGTCTTTTCTCAACTGAATTCTCAAATTCACAAATGCCTTTTAACTTCCCTCTTTTACCAGATCTTAGGATTTGTTTTGTTGGGAAGAACAGCTGACCCACTGGGCTCAAGAGGAGGCCATTACCAGAAGCCAGAACTTACAGAGTCCTCACTCCCTCCCTAATAGATGGGAGGTTTTTCGGGTCAGGCTTTGGTGGGGAAACCCCCCCCCCCTCTGTTAGACTGCTAACCAGGTGAAGCAGGCAGCTGCTCCACAAAGTTCTGAAGAATTTGGCAGTCAGTGCTCTCCTTTTTTTGAATAGCGGAATCATTTCATAATAAAGACAAGCAGAAAAAATATATATTTCGATCTTGGTAATGGGAGATACCTTTCCTTAAAATGTTAGTCTCTGTCCAGGTGTTTCTGCTGAGATCAGGGGAAATGGAGACAGAAACATACTCTAAGCAGGTGACTCAAGACTATTGTCACACACGGAGAGCCACATGGACCCCTGGCTCTGAGTCCCCGAGAACAAATGGGACAGCAATAAGAAACACATTGAAAGTTTGTTTCCATGTGAAATCATCTCCAAAATTCCACAATATGCCTCCCACACACACACACACACGATTCGGAGCAGATGCATGTAAACACAAAAGAACCTAATGAAAAACACGATGCTGTTGTTTAAATAAAAGCACGTGACACACATGAACACGGTGGAAAAGTGTTTCCAGGTCCTGTGTGCACAAAGGAGCTACACATTCATGTGGGGCTTCAGCTGAGGCGGCTAACACGGGTCCCGCGCCCCCCCAGACCCCGTCCGGCACAGAGGTCTGCTTTTACCTGGGAAACAGATGCCTGGGCTGTGTCAGAGACCGCTCACGGGGGTGGGGGGGGACGTAGCGGATAAACTAACAAAATGCTGATGGGATTCGTTTGGCACACACCAAAGATGGAGGCCGGCAAAATGGCAAACCAAATAAACAAGTAAAAATCAGCTCATCCTCTGAGTGCTCTCCTCCTTCGTGGCCGTAAGCTCTCGTTTATGAAAAAGATTTTCTCCCGCACATGTTCTCAATTATGCATAAAGTGAGGATCCCGGTTTGTGTGGAGCAGTAATCCCTGGGATGCCTGGCCGGGCCAATAGTGTGGCCGGAGTGAGACGTGGGGCTTTAACCCCAAAGCATATGCCGCTCTCTGTCTGTCTCTACCTGCCTGTCTCTCCCCTCTCACAGCTTAAAGGAGCCCAGTCCTGCCAATCTCAGTAATGGATTCATTTGCCGTGAAAGGATGTGTTTCTGCTGGACTGTGTGTGTGTGTGTGTGTGTGTGTGTGTCCGACTTTAGAGTTTGAGCATAAACTTTCCATCTGGGATCTGCTATCAGGAGAGATGAGCTTGGAGCTCGTCAGCCTGTGTGTGTGTGTGTGTGTATAAGTGTGTGCGTGTAATTGTGTGTGTGTAAGTGTGTGTGTGGGCGCTCATCTGTTCTTGTGAGGTCACTTCCTTCCTCTCTGGCCTTGGCGCTGGCCGTGTATGTGTGTGAAACTCATTTAAAGCCCACATATGCACATGTTGTCACACAGTTAAACCTTGAATGGATGTCGATTTTCTGTCAAGAAAGTCTGTTTCTTGTTCTTGTCACATTTTCTTTTGGACGAAGGGCCTGGCCTTGGAGAGCAAAATCGGTGCTAAGAACAGAACTTAGAGGGAATTCGTCTGAGAGCTTCGGCTGGACAATCTGCTCCACTTGGAAACAGCCCAAATATTGTTGTCCTATGAAGTTTCACAGCTGAAGGGGGAAGCTGCTCTTTCAGTTTGAAGCATTAGAAAGCTACCAGCGTTCGGCAGGATTTGAAATACCACTCCGGCTGATGTCAAACCAGATCACAAACGTACCCACCAAAGCAGGGAGGTGGATTTTAAGGTGGACCGACTCTGCAGCTGTCTGCAGGCTGAGGGCGTAATTCCCCGTTTTAATGAACATGTTTTGCCAGTTTAGGTGTGGAAAGGATGGGCTGAATAATTAAACATGTAGTTAACAACATCCTTATTTACAAGAATACATCCCTCTTTTCCCCTGTGTGTGTGTGTGTGTGTGTGTGTGTGTGTGTGTGTGTCACAGCTAACCGAGCACAGAGCGGAGCAGCCAGCAGCTCTCAAACAGGAGACGCCTTAGGGAAAGCACTCGCATCGGTAACTACGCCACACGCACACACCGGCACACACACACACCCGTTCTGGTGCTCCTTCAATTTTTCCCCCCTCTCATTGCTACTCAAGTCTCAACTGTACTTTTTTTGTTGTTGCAGATCTACTCTCCAGATCACACGAACAACAGCTTCTCGTCCAACCCCTCCACCCCGGTGGGCTCCCCGCCCTCGCTCACAGGTGAGCAGGGGACGCACACACGGTCTAAACCCAGAACCAGGAGCCAGAGCCTGGGCGTAGACCTGAACACAGAAATGTGGGCTGGGACTTGTTTCAACTCACCCGGAACAAGACGTGACCTTTTCTAAAATGACCCCACTTTGGACCCGAGACAGTCTTTTACTTGACTGACTTGAGATTTGACTCTGGACTTATTTAAGAGGACTCAAACGTCTATTTGAACTCCCTACAGGTTGATTTGCTCTTGGTGGAAATTATTCCATTTATTTCCATTCTATTTAACTGGAACCTCTTGAGTCAGTATGATTTCAATGGAGATCTAAATGTACTAAAACAGCTGCTATTCCTCAGCTCTAGATCCTGTGAGTTCGGCCATGTTTGCCTTGTAGACGGTCCTTTTGATGAAGTAACTGGCAGGGAATTCTACCACCGTTTTTGTTGGAGATTAATAATGTTAATGTTTAGGTCTAATTCTAGCACATTTTTAAAAAGTTGATCAAATATCAAAAGAAAAAAATATTAAAATCCTCTAGATAAACCCAGAAAAACAAAAAATATAAATCTAATGCCCATCTCATCACAAATTGAAGGCCAGCAAGAGTTTTATCTGACGCAACAGGCTGAGCTGTGCTTATTTGAACGGGTTAGTCGTTTAGGTTTCTGTTTCTGCATTTAGCAAATGCTTTTATCCAAAGCGACTTACAAAGTGGATACAATTTTACAGTTATCATCAATATGATGATAAGTTCTCTAGTGGAAAATCCCCAGTCCAGGGAGAGGGACCAACTACAGAAACGGTCACTTTGGTGTCTGATTCTGACCTCGGAGCTGCTGGGACTGGAGGATCTAATGCTCTACCTGGGCTATATAAATGCAGTCCATCATGCAAATATAAAGACCAACACCTTGAAATGCATTCCAAAATGGACAGAGATGCTAAGGAAAGGGTCATATGCTAATATTTTCCGGCGGCAGCATTTTGAACCACCTGAAGCCAACAGAAATGACTGATCCTCCCCAACACAATTCATAAAATCATGTAGAACTTCCTCTAAAATATTTCAAGGAAATAGACAGAACTGGGCAAAATCTGGTCATAGCAGGTATATAAATCTGTTTTTAAAAATTAAATGTTGTGTTCAATACGGCACCCAAATTTCTGGTAAACCTATGAATAAAAGAAGCTGATTGGCCGGCTCTGCCCTCCATGACACACCCAGTCCCATCACCACCATCACATCACAGGAAGTGATGGACTGCAGTTGGTCAAACAAGCCCATAAAATTAGATTTTTTATTCACTCTTTGGAGCAAAAAATAAACGCACCAGCACAACCCAGCAGGAAGCCGCCACATGTGTGGATTTCTCTAATAAAAAATCAAATCTGTCCATGTGACAGTGATTTTTTAAACTAAACTTCAACCCAGGTCATGGGCCACTGGACGGTCAGCCTCTGCCCACAGGGTTTGAGAGTCTGAATGTCGGCACAGCAAAGAGAAGAACAACCCCTGTTGGATCAGAGGATGTAAAAGAGAAAACAGCGTGACTTTAAAAAAACTAGGTTGTTTTGCAAAGAAGTGATTTGAATGAAAAATCATCTGACTACCTTTTTAAAGATTATTTTAAGTCTTTTAAGTGGCTTGAGACTGGACTTTTTTTTTTCAGATGACCTGAGACTTGACTTGACTTCTACAGCTCTGAGAAGAAGAGTGTAAATACGATTAAAAAAAATATTATTTACATTGCATAGTGAGTTAAACTCAGAGGTGAAGTAAAACTGCTCTGTGGAAAAGAAAAACAGTGAGGAAATAACCCTTTGGCCCTTCTCCTCCTCCTCCTTTTCTACCTATTACTCATCCCCTCTGCGGATGCTGTAAACTGGAGCCGCTCCTTAAAGTGAAAAATGACTTTTACTAATAATAGTTGTGTCGACTTTGTCTCTAATTGTGGCTGCTACACACAGCGTTTGATATTTCTGCGCCGCGCCTCGTGACTGATAGCTTTAATTACGAGCACCACTCCGACAAATCGTTCCCAAACCTACCGGCTCTGCAAACACAGGCCCTCTCCCCTCTTCCTCCTCCTCCTCATCATTATAGCTGCCTGGGATATTGCCTGCTAAACCATAATTGGTGTTTATCATTGTGTCAGAGTTACTCCACTTTTTACAAATTAGAAACGAAGCCTATTAGAGCAAACTACATGCAAATTGATATCCAAGGCTAATTCTGTGAGGGTGTTTTACAGCATTGGACTCAGAATAATTTACCCTGCCGTTTAATACTTATATTTGTATTTGCACATGAATGTACCCAGGTGATTATTCATTAATTAGCATATGGAAATGAGCACGTAATGTGAATAAAGGAGAGGGGGAGAGAAAGGACTTTGAGACAAAAAAGGGAAGACAATGGGGGGAAAAAGAAACATGTACTAATGAGATGAGATCAGAGTTAGTGGGAAGAGATCAGCAATGAGGGCAGCTGGAGGCAAGAGGAGAGAAGAGGTCAACAGGAGAGGAAGAGGAAAGGGAAGGAGACAAAACAGAGTAAGGGGAGAAGAGAGCAGGACAGGAGAAACCTTTAAATGCCCATAAAAAGCCAGAAAATAGAGGAAAACTTCTCGATATCAAAAACCAAGAGCAAGCCAGTGTGACTTTAAAATCTCCCCACTGATCTCATGATGCAGGCTGGCCTTAAGAACATTTGATTTCTGATAGAGATGCTTGGAAAACAACTTTCAAACAAGATTTTTGTGGTTTTGAGAGTTAGGTTTTTGCCCGATGAGCTTAATCCATCCATCCACTGACTTTTGGTGTCACCACATCTGGAGAAATATATTAGTTATGGCTTTAGACAAAGTGTTGTGGGCTTATTGTTATTTAAATCAACGCAAGCTCACAATAAACAAGCCAACAGCCTTAGATTGAGCTTATCCTAAATGCCTTAAAAGTTTTTCTTTGTGAAACGCGGTCCTGAGAACAGACGGAGGCTGGTTTGCTTTGCTTGCAAACTGCCTCTGAGTATTCCCCTTTCCTTTGTCGCCTTCTTATTACTCACCTCCAGTCTGTTAAAAGGACTCCACTCATATTAATGGAAATTCACATAAGTCGCTGTCTCCCCTCTGCCTACCAGCTAATGAGACCTGTCCATTCAGACGGAGCCCGTTCCGGCGGCGCGCGGCACAAAAGCCGAGCGGAGCAGACAAAAAGCTTGTTTACTCTGCAGAGGGCCCATGCTAATCAACCACTTGTACCTTTTCCCGGACAAAAGCTGCTATTAGCATATTTGCGATGAGATACGGCTTCGTTTTGTTTGTGTTTTTTTTTCTTCTTGTCTTCCTCACCTCTCCGTCTTTTATGTCCGAGCACCTCGAGTGTCCTCGTGAGTGAAGGCGTTTTGTCTGGCGTTTGGCAACACTCATCGAGCGGGTTTCGTCTTTACACATAAAAAAGCTGTGTTGCATCCTGTGATAAGAGGCTGCAGGGCAGCTATCAAAGCGCACACGCAGATGCCGGTGTCGCTTTGGGATGAATGTGGGCAGAAAAATGGTGGAATAGTCAGCCGGGTGCCCACTTGATGCTCTCTGCTGATGTTTTAGCCTCAGTCTGCTTCTGTCTTCTTCTTGACTTCCTGTCCTGATGATGTCGTCCCCTCTGCTCTCTCCTAGCTGCCAGCTCAGCCGTCTGGTCGAGGAATGGCGGACAGGGAGCGTCGTCGCCAAACTACGAGGCCCCTCTGCACTCTCTGGTACGCTCCCCCCAAAACTAAAACACGCAAACCGAATTCCACAGCCAATAGCATTCTGCTTTTCTGAACCAGGACTCACATCTTAACTTAAACCGTTATGACCAGGTAAAGAGGTCGATACGCTTTTGTTTCAGCTCTAAATTCTTCACATTAGCTAAACTATCACAAATACCCCAAAAAAGGTCGAAAACCCATTCTGTCTGATGTACTTTTGGATGAACCCACAATTTGGAAATGTGTTTTTCTTTGTTTTTCAGATGATTTGTTGTACTCTGTGGTGGATGTGATGGATAGGAACATTGTTATTTTTATTTGTGGCTTTTCCTTTACAGCTGGTAGAAGGTTCTTCTTTATCTGAAAAGTTTCGGCCAAGCATGTGTTATTAATCCATCCAGCTCAGGATGGACCGATGCCGGAGTGACAGCTCAGTCCAGCTCAGTCCAGCTTAGTCCAGCTCCACACTTTACGTCTTCCTTAACATCTTAAAGTCTTTTCATGTCCTAAAGAAAATCCATACAGTTCGCTAAAACCTTTATTCCGCTTTGTGCTTTTGTCAGAAAGCTGCGTATTTCACATAAGCTGATTTTGGCCGCAGGTCCAAATGGAGCCTGAGCAGAAAGGCGTCCGGTGTCCGGCTTTAGATCCGAGTGTCTCTAAACCTGTGTGTGGGCTCTTCCCTGAGCCGGCCCCTCTGAGGGCGGGGACCGGCTCCTCATCCTCTCGTGTCCCCCCACAGCAAAGTCGCATCGAGGACCGGCTGGAGCGTCTGGACGACGCCATCCACGTGCTGCGGAGCCACGCGGTGGGGCCGTCCACGGGGATGAGCGGCGGCCACGCCGACATGCACAGCCTCATTGGGGCGGCGCACACGCACAACGGAGCCATGGGCGCGCTGGGCAGCGGCTACGGGACGGGCCTGCTGTCCGCCAACAGACACTCCCTCATGGTAGGACCCGGCCTCCGCCATTATGAGACCACTGTCATAAAAACAGCCCCCAGTTCCACCCAAACAGAACCAGTCAATAAGCTGTCCACGCTGAACCCTCCGGCTGTCCTCCAGGTCACTTTGGCCCGGTTCAGAAGCTGATGTCATCACTTTTTATCCTAACTTTAGTTGGAAAATTGAGATGCTTTGATCCCAACTGAACTTTGACATAAAACATCCGATAAAACATCAGAACATCCCTCTCTTGGTCAAACCAAATTCAGAATTCCTGCTTATCAACTCGAAAGTTCGGTATAATTCGATGTACTGCAGCTGTGGGCTACTGTACAAAGCATTTAAAAAAGGAGTGTGAAATAAGCGATAATGTGCTAGAAATAAGGCGACTAAAAGGTGGAACACTCGTTTTTGTGTCTCTTTCTTTATAAATGGTCAAATGAAATGACTGAATTGAGAGTGAAATATATATGATTTGTATGTATATGTATATAATAATATAGATCCATTTTAAACCGCAAGTTAAACAACCAAACAGCTGTGTGACATAAGGGGGTGCGGGGGGGTTAGAGAGTGTAAACACATCCAGACGCCTCCACATGTTCAGTCAGACGCACGCTGTTTACGTCTATAAGTCCGACCCGGGGCTGAATTCTACCTGTTTCTTTGTCCCTGGTTTCTGTATTCAGGCCCGTCTGCAAACTGGGGCAGAAAGCAGCGGGGCTCACCGAGTGATGCTCTCTGCCTGTTTGCTTTGTGGTGCCCACTTCTCTCTGTCTGACCTCAGAGGCTGACTGAGTGGAATAAACACACCTCCTTTACTGTTTTTATGGAGCTTACGTTGAACAAAACAGGGAATTATTCAAATGTAATTGTACGTTGTTGCCTGATATTTTCTTAAAGGTTTAGGGAAAGGAGCTAGAGGAGGAGGAGCTGTGTTTAGATTCCAAGCACAATTGGAGGGAAAGGCTTCCAGGCTACTTTTCATCTGGAGATGGTTTGAAGCACTTCGCGGCTCTTTAAATGTCCCCAGACGCAAATTTGGCTCCGAGCTTTATTAACTGATGTGGAAATTAGGCCCAAGAAAACATTGCAAGTTTGCCCGGTGTTGGGGCTAATATTTTTACAATTGACTTCCCTGTTTAATCTGGAAAAAAGCCCCGTCCCTTACTGGTCCTGTTTATGTGTGTGTTTAACTGATGGAGGGGGAGAATAAAGGGAAGTGAAGAACTAGTGATGAAAAACTCCCTGAAATGCTCACACAGGAGCAGAAAGGGTCCCGCCTGGTGACTGTGTGTGTGTGGGGGGGGGGTTTCCTTTGGTGGGATAATTAGCTGATGAAATAACATACTCGTGTTAGTTTCATAACGGCACACTTTTAGACTGGAAGGAGTTTCTCTCCTTAAACGACCAGACAAGTTCTGGCACTCAGAGCAAATGTTTTTGTAGTAAACCTAAAGCTCAGAGAGCTTTGAGGAGAAGCAGGAGATGTTTTACAGTACACGTCACCGCGGGATTTAACTGCAGAAGACGTCTAACAGGAAGTTTGTGGCGTGTACCCAGACTTTGGTAGTCAGTGCTTTGTTACTGTAGAATGACACTACTAAAGTAGGAGTAGGAATTAGTCATTAAGACAAAAGAAAAGTTTGTGATCTCTCTGATAAAACTTAAACAGCTTTCAGGGGTGACAAATGAATTCATGTAAAAGTAGCTGCCACTATGCTGCACAGTGAATGTGAGGAAAAGTAGTGTTTCTTCTTTATAGATATACTCCTGCAAAAGAAAAAAAGTTTGTTTATTTAAAATGTTGCTCAAGCGAATGCAGTATGTTGCCACCCACCTCAAATTCTGTTTTACTTTCATACATCTTTCTGTATCTTTTTCACATTTTTATCATCTTGTTTGGTGCTTTGTAGACAGCAGATCCTCATTTATTTATATGGTAACTTATTCATTTAAAATGCAACACCTGCAATAATCTGAAGCTGCTCTACTGATCCAAATTCCTCCAAAAACTGTCACAGTCAGTTTTTTTTTTTTTTACATTATAAAATTAAATTTTGATTCCATAATTTTACTTTTTGAAGAATACTTTAATTATAAACTGCAGCTAAGTTATTTTCTCCTAATTTCCGCAATTCCCCTTTAAACTGAAAGACATTTTTTTAAACGACATACACACACTCAAAGTTAAGATAAAGATAAAGCAGCAAGATTTCTCCTAAATTCCAACAGACTCTAACCCTGGATGCTTTTGTTTTCTCTCGTTCCTTAGAAAATACACAGATGTCTCATGCAGATATAAAGCCTTATTCCAAATTTGGAAAAACAAATTTAACGGAGTCTGAAAATGGAAAATGTCACCATTGATAATCAGATCTTTGATCAAACTTCACATAAAAGTTCAAATGTCTGGCAAATTTGAAAAAAGAAAAAAAAGAAAACACAAATCAGATGAGTGGATGAAATCACCAAACCAGGGAGAATGATTTTAGCTTTTTTAGCTTTATTTTGATTCCTCCATTTAGCGAGTGGCTCCATCAGAAACAAACCAGATTCATGTTGCGGTTCAGTGTTTTAGGTGAGAGGACTTTGAGCCGGATTTGTTGTAAAGAAAAAACCTTGTTGCTGAAACAAGGAGACTTTTTATGTTCTGATCCAGAGAGCTGAGCTGGTTGATTTTGGCCCGACACATGAGGGTTGTTCGGTTACTGACAGAACTTAGGGACCTTTTTCTCTGCTAAATAAACGGCATAGGCCTTAAAAGGTGGAGTGTGTGTGTGCCACAGGGCGGACTGACACACACTAACAGACACACAGCTCGAGAGGAAGAATGAAGTCATCCCAAACGTGAGCGTAAACAGTTTTCCAGCTTCGCTCTTGTTTAGTCCTATTCTCTCCTTTCTCTTTTCACACACACACACACACACACACAGCGGCCCTATTTTCCCGCATATTTACCAGATTACATCTTCTCCGTCGTTCCTGTTTTAATCTCCCAGCCCCGATGGGCTCGATCCCTCTGCACGCACACACACACACACACACACACAGCTGTCTGGAGTTTGGCAGGGTTAGGCACAGGCGCTTGCAGGCTGAGGTCATAACTCTGAGAAAACAGGTGGCAGGCCGATGTCGGAGGGAGAGACGCAGGCGTGCACGCACCCAGCGGAGCGTGCACGCACCCAGCGGAACGTGCACGCACCCAGCGGAACGTGCACGCATCCACGCAGGTCCCTCAGCAAAAACCTTTTTGGAGATATTCCACTAAACGCCGTCCGACTTTGCTCCAAGCTGGGGTGGAAGAAACTGCGTGAGCCTCCTTAGGAGAGGTCAAAGGTCAACTAAGCCAGCTCCTTGTCTTTATATTGAGCTGAGCTGCAGTAGGTGGGAGGAATCCCGCGGTGGAACTCCACAAACAGAGTGGGTCCCCCGGTTTACTCCCAACAGCACGGCAGCAGCTGCTTCCTAACGGGAGCTCTGCAGGAACTCCTGGGTGCCGTTCACGGAGCAGGGCCACTCTTAAGGGGGATCGGCCACATACCTGTGGCTTTACGCTCTCATAAGGAGTGGAAATGTTTGTCTGAGTTCAGCCCGAGAGCTGCTAGGTTCTGTCCGTTTATGTGCTTTTGAAATTGGAGTTCTCCATCTGTGCTGGAAGTGTGTGGCAAGTTTTGAATATTTATGAGAAGAAGGAGGTGAGGATCTTTGCACTTCCCTGCACAGCCTCCTGTTTATGAAGATAATTAGATGAAGTGAACCCAAACAACCCGAATAACCCGATCATGTGAAACGGTTCCGTGGAAAGACGCCTTTTCTTCACATTTAAATAAGTAGCATGTTTTTGTATTTACGGAAATATTGAATGGCAGGGCTAAAAAACAAAAAGTACATTAGGGAAATTGAAGCCTACTGTTTAAGAGTTGAACACGTTGGTTGGAACATTAAAGGACTGGCAGCAGGAATTAAGGACGGGATTAAATCTGAGGCCAGGTGTTCGGCTGCAGCCGTAAAAATTAGAGATGAATGAAAACAGGTTAAGGACTTTTGAATGGAATGTAATATGCATTTATGGGAAGTGTTCTAAACACATCAGGAGTAAATGAGTGTCAGATGTTTGTTCGCATAACCACAGACTCACAGTCAGCACATACAAATGTAACCACAGTTTTAGAAAAAAATAAGAGACAAAAAGTTGATGAAATGTTGGAAAAGGATTTGGAATTAAAAGAAGTAAATCTGGTGCATCATTCTTAAAACTGCCTGTAAATTTATATTTGGCTCTTTTCAACTCTACAAATTATTCAAATATGACTGCAACTGCAAAGGGAACATTTACCTAGTAAAAGATGTGGAAACCCTAAAAGTAACTTATTCCAATCCTCTGGAACTTTAGCCACGCTCCTGCCCACTGTCACTTGACATGTGGACCAACTCGGAGCGTGGAGGCCTTTTCTAGGCATGGAAACACTTCCTGTGAGGCATCAGAGCTTCCACCGCCAAGCCCTCAGACCAATGTGTTTGTTGGTATCAAATTCAAACCGAGTTTTAGGTCAGACGAGTTCATTTAGTTGCTTTTGGATTGAACGGGCTCCTAAGGTGAATGGAAAAAAGCCCTAACATTTTCCACACGACACGCTCCTACGTGTCTCTGCTCTCCTGTTCTGTTTCGGATTCTTCCTAAAAGTAATAGGACGCCGAGTCGACCACCTGTCACTCTGTTTATCGAGCCGAAAATGAAGAAATACACATACGTGTGTCACGCCACTGGAAAATGTAGCTGTACTTTCCCCCCCTGGAAGTCCAGTCTCAACACTAAGCCCTGTGTGTAAGTGTGTGTGTGTGTGTGTGTGTGTGTGTGTTGACGTAGCTACAGCAGGTGCTTTCTGTCAAGGGTTCAGTCTGCACAGAGAGAGGCTGTGCAGCGGGGAGAATGTTCCACTGTGTGTTTAGGCCGGTTTATTTCAACTTTGAATATAAAATGTGTTTCTCAGTCCCAGAAATCAGCCTCATAAAAAAAAAATTAAAACATTAAATGCACGGCTGAGTGATTTATTTATTTATTTATTTTTAGCTTCCAGGTACTTCTTCTCAAGTAAAGCTTTTAGTTTTTCACAACCCAGTGAATAAATGTTTGTCCAAATTTAGTTATGCTCTTTAAAACTTCCCAAGCAATTATTGGACTAATTGTGCCGCTCAGAGGGTTTAAGTGAGCAGTCTGGCTGTAAGCAGTCAGTAAAAGGTAGAAGGAAAGATCACTGAACAGCTGAATTATCAAACCTAAAGGAGGAAAACAAAATAAAAACCAGGTAGGACCCAGAGTGGAGCCCTGAGGTGCTCTATGTGGCAGCTCTGTAGACTCGGACTCGCTCCGGTAACCAGTCTGACAGAAAATCTTCAAGAGCAGACCAATCAGTTTCAGCTAGAGGCCGTTTCTGACCACATATCCACAGTCCTGGACCATACTGTTCATTTTAGCTTCAGTAAAAAGGCCCTTTCTTTGCTCCACTGAGCACAAACCCACAGCTCCAGGTTTAATAATGGAAGCCAAAGCCCGACCTGAACCAGTGGGAGTGTAACTCGTTTATAGTCTCATTAGATCATAACCTGCTGGAGCATTTCAAACTGAGGCAAAGATGAGCGTTTTGCTTGAGCTGGTTTGGTGTTTCAAAAAGGGCAGCTCGCTGTTTAGATAAGGTTAACGCTTTTTGTGAAACACTGTCTAAGAGGCATTAATTGAACATGAGTTGTCAATTAATTCTGATTCTCGGCAGAGCTGTGATTCACCTGACTTCCCTGCTAAGCATACTAAAACGCTAAATTTAGCGTTGGAAAAAATAAACCCATCTGTGGCTTTAGCTCAAACCTGAAGGGTTTGAAATGTCCGGTGCCTTTTTGTTTGTTAGATTCCAGAGAAAAGGGACTTCCTGCTCTATTATCTCCTCTCATCTTACCCCTTTTGTCTTCTTCCTTGTTTTGTTTTTCTGCCACAGTAATCGAAAACGACAATTTGAAATTGCAGAAATCCACCTAATGTGGGCTGAAATATTGGAATCTACAGTTAGTAAATGGACAGAGTTTCCTCTCCTTCCCTCCACGGCAGTCACAGAGGCAGACTTGTCCCCACTGTTTACAACTGCATGATAAACTCCTCAGCGCTCACATGCGTGTGTGTGTGTGTCATCTCTTGACCCCAAAATTCCCTTTTTTCCCCTCATCTTCCTGAGTAATCATTGCTATCTCTCCCACACACACACAGATTTCTGCACTAGGCCCTTCCCGCTGATTAACAGCATTGCGGATGACAGCTCCTCCTCGCTCAGACTCCGGTTATTATTTCAACTCGCTTTGTCGGATGAAATAAAGAAAATCAGGCAGAAAATACGAGAAAAGGCCTCCAGACTGCATCCATACATGACGAGCATTAGTTTGGTTGTCATGTCAGAGTCAGGACTTGATAAGGAATCTCTGTTTGAGTAGGAAGCTGTGTATTTTCACACAGAAAATCTGGAAGTGTTGGCTCCTGAGTTTTTATTGACCAACTTTTGAAGCCTTTTTATTTTTGTAAGATTTTTTTCTTTTGTTGGGAGTCTGCTTTTCAAACAGGTGTCTCAGAAAAGTCCGTCTCAAAGGCTGTTAGGCCGTGTCAGTCTGGTTTGTTGACAGCTTCGGCCGGTGTGTCCACATCGTCTGCGTCTTCATTGGTTGATTTTCTTCCTTCAGGGCAGTGGTCGGCGCCGGGTCACTGGTGATGTGTGACCTTTCAGAGCTAACTCATTATCTCCTGTTGTCAGGAAGACTATCTGACGATGGAAGAACTTTAAAAATGTCTTTGGTGGTGCGTTGACAAAAGCTTAGAAATTCCACAGTCTGTCAGTTTGTTGTGACTGCTCATCAGAAATGTAAAGACTTCAGCCATGTAGCTAAACCACAACGGTTTCAATGGATGAAAACTGTTTTTTAGAGGGGTAAAACTAGATATTTCTGAGATGTCTCCCCATTTTGCTCCGGCCCTGGAAGGCTGCGTGCTGTCCAGAGTCAGAGCCGCAGAGGTGGGTGTGCCTCATTGCAGCAGATCAGTTTATGTGTAATTTATTTAGATTTTTCTTCTCCATCTGTCTCTTCATCTCCTCTCCTCATTGAACTAAATTAAGCAAAAGAGGAAGGCTTGTTAAAATATAAAAGGCCCCCATTAAAAATGTACACCACCCTGTCTGTCTCCCTCTCTGCTGCCATTTTACATTTGGGAATCCAGGCGGTGATGAAAGGCAGAGAGCAGGAAAAAAAAGGCTGAAAGAGAAGAAGAGAGGCGGGCGAGGGCTGAAGGAGCAGAGAGAGGCGTGGACAAATAGACGGAGGTTACTCCGTTGTGTGCACGCTTGTCGACATTTTGTGATATTTGCCCAGAGTGGAGGGAGAGTCTGGCACGTGGTGGCCAGACCCCGTCAGAGACCAGCTGGATTAGCTGTCAGGCGGGGGGGATTCCAGTTTCAAAGCGACTTCATTCACACTACTGGCACAACAAAACAAACAAAACCAAAAAATAGCATACATGAAATTGTCAAATTATATCATCTTCGTTTTAGTTCAGGTTTCCTTTCAGAGTGGAAATTGTCTGTGGGTCAAAACCTTTAACAAAGCACATGTCTTGTCAGTATCTATATTTAAAAATGTATTTCTATTTGTTCCTAAACTACCATAACTGTGATTGCTAAATTTTGATCATTTGATTTGATCCACATTTGATGTAAATGCTCTGATATTTAATATTTTATTCAAATCAAACTATAATTTGACCATTTTAGCAACCAAACTAACGGTGCTAAAATTTAAAAAGTGGTCTAAAATCACATTTCACATTTGCTGTCATATTTTGGACTACTGAGCGCACCTAAATTTAAGCCGCACCCACTAACATCAAAAAGATAAAATCTGTACATATACAGGCAGCAGCTGTCTATAAATTGCAGGTGGCCACAACACAGACGGGGACTTTTTAAACTTTAACTAAATATGTGCTGGTAACATACACAAATGCATAGCGCTAATGCTTTTTTTAATCCGACATGTTGGTTAAATTAATTGGTCTGATGGGACGAGGCTAAATGTTTATAGTCCAGAAACGAAGGGATCAAGTTATAACAAATAAGCCTTTCAGTGTAGAGCTTTGTAGGATTTTAAGGAGTGAATTTGTGGTGAATCTGTGGAATTGCTCTGTGTGGTGGCTTTAGCATTAATAAGCACACATTTATTTAGCTAAAAATAAGCTAAAAGAGGAAAAAGAAGAGCCGGTATTAATATGCATCTGCTTAATATTGTTTGTTGTTTAGTTTTTGCTTTAAATCGTCCGGAGCCAGAAGGGTTTTTTCTGCTCTGCACACGTTTTTAGGACCTGAACTTTGCTGTTAGAGTGGCAGCTTCTGCTTCCGTTGGTCCCCAAAGTGACAGTGATGAGTCTGGAGTGTAAAACAAGCCGCCCCATCAGCATGCAGCACGCAGAACGCAGGAGAAATGGCTCCTTCGTCCTTTCTTTACTCCCAGCTTTTTAAAAAAACACACAAAAAAAACACAGACACATTAAAGCTATCCAGGAGCGAGGGACATTTTAGGGGTAATTTGGGAAAACGGTTCATAAAGGGGATGTTCTGTTAGACTAAACCATCAGACTCCTTCAAAGATAGCAGGATGAAAGTGTTAAGTGGGGCTTTACTGGGCAGAGAGAACAGAGGATGGATCTATGGAGCCGTCTGCTCCATCAGAAAAACACTGCCGCCTCGCTTTCCTCTGCAAAGCTCAGCCGAGAGGATGCGTCACAGGCCGCCTGTTGGATGTCAGGCTGAGTGGATGGAGTGAAATAAAATGGTAATTCAGCCTGATTATTACTCCCCTCGCTGTGTCCACGCTGCCTTCCAGCTGCCATTCAGCTGTGATTAGTGTTCAGAACCTTTAGAAGCTTTTAGCTGAACTGGGATCCATCATGGTTCATATCTGTCACCCGTCCTGCTGATGTGCACCCACCGAAATAAAGCTGAGGGAAGGGGTGGGGCGGGGCCGAGCCCGAGCCCATTCTGAACCACAGGATGCCTGCAGAAAGCTGACTTCACAAACACACACACACACACAAAAAGAGAGCCCATCTCGTGCCAAAACAGTGAGTCCCCGCTGGAAGCTGCTCGGAGCTTTGGGAATTAGAAATCCCACAATTAAACATATGGGCATTAAGATAATTGTCAGTTGTTGTGCTGTCGTTTGCATGTGTGTGTGTGTGTGTTTGTGTGTGTGTGTGTGTGTGGTAGACAGATGGATAGGATTCAGCAAAGAACTCACACACACATGCGCTCCAACCGTATTTCCCTCCGAACGTACAGGAAAAATAGCGACGGCCTTTAGCTCAAAAACAAAAGAAAGAAGCAAAATCTGTAAGTGTACATGTGGGACATTCAGAAACGAACCTGGACCCACACACGCACACACACACACACACAATGGGTGATGCTCATAAGAAGGCCCAGTGGAGGAGAGGGTGTGTGTGAGAGAGGCCGATGCGCTGATGGAGATCTGGAGTGCCGTAGAAAGGGGGAGGATGCCCTCAGCAGGACGAAGGGAGAACTGCAGCACCTGAGAAAAGAAGCAAACAAACACGCGTTCCCATTCCGCTTTTATACCTGTACAGTAGCTCCTGTAAAACGTCAGCAAAATCAAACCCCCCACAGGTGATTTAAAAGGCAGGTTGTGAGATGAAATGTCTCTCTGTTCTCCTGCTGTCAGACTGTCTGTATGCTGTCCCCCCCCCCCCCCCCTGGTCCTCAGCCTCTCCTCCGTCTCATCTGCAGGTGGGCTCTCACAGAGAAGACGGCGGCAGTTTGCGCGGGGGACACTCCATGGGCGGTCAGGTGTCGGTTCCTCAGCTGCCCGTCCAGTCGGCCACCTCGCCGGACCTCAGCCAGCCCGACCCCTACCGCGGTAAGACCCCCCACATCAAACCAAGTCAGCAGTGTCCTCAGGCCCCCGACGGCCCCCTGAGGCTGAGGGGGGAGACAGGAAGGGCACCACAACTCAAGCACACTTTTCCTGTCTCCCAGCATGCACTTGTGCAACTCATCTAAACACAAAATGAGCCTTTATGACCACAAAAACCTGAAGCTAGAACGTAACAACAAGGTAGTGATGCATGGGAAAAAACAGAATTTTTTGGGAAGAAAATTAGGGAAAAAGAGGACATTTTTTGATTGCAAAAAATAAATAAATAAAAGGAAAACCGTTTGACAAACCCGTGCTGGAGAAGACCAAACAACTGCGAGCTCACCGCTCGTCAAATTAGCCCAGAGCTGGTTTTTAAAGGCTAAGAATGAGGCCTCTGGCAGCAAAGTTCGGCCAGTGGCAACCAGAGCCAAGTGTGTAATGAGGGGAGAGGGGAGGGAAGTCACCCAATCTGGCCAAAGGCGGAGAAGCTGCTCCTCTCTGTTGAGTGTGTGGGAGCTGTAAACAATATGTTTTAAAACTTGCTCTGCCGCTAATGCAGAATTCTAAGCGCAGACTGTCATTTCCTTCTCAATAAAAAATATAGAACACACATTACACTTACATGCACTAAATTGGCCAGTGGAGCTTTTTCAGTTTCAATGTATTTTCATCAGATAAAATATTCCAGGTATTGATAAAGTTTGTGTTCACCATTCAGCATTTGGAATCATACTCAGAAGGGATGACAAATACCTCAATGGATTTATGGTTAAAGAAGCTCATTATTGTTGATATTTTCTTTATAGTTATGAATGCAAATAGAAAGATTTTAGATCACAGTCAGGAGAGGAGTCCCCAGTCACTGGGGATTCGAACCAGGGACCCTATTGCCTTTTGCCGGCTATTCCCTCAATTTAGTTTTAATTTAATTTCAATCAAGTCAAAAACTGAATAAAAATGTATCCAATTCACACCATTTTCATTGCATGAATGAACGGCAGTTTTGTGCTTTAGTATCACAGTCTGAAACTCAAAGAAGCAAAATGACCTTAAACACTCTCAAAGCTACTACATACAGACAAAAGTCAACCACAAAGACACAGAAAACATCTCCAGATCTAAATTAAACTTAAATGAAACTACTACACGTACAAAAGTAGACACCAAAACACAAAATTACAAAGGGGCACCAAATCACTGGAGTGAACACAAGCACACAAAGTTTCTCCTCAAACTGATACAAAGAGACAAGTGAGCTGGAAACAAGCTACAACTAACCATTTTTTAGGCTTGTGATTTAAAGGTTGCCATTTGTTGTTTTGGTCTGGGGCGGGCTGATGGCTGTGAAGACAGCCAGAACGTTGAAAGAAAGCTGAATGGGAAATGTCAGGATGGGGAAGAGGAGGGAGAAGTTAGTCTCCACCAGTGTCTTTCAGCCTCCGCCCGCTATCAGTCAGACGTCCAGAGGAACAACGTTTCTTTTCACAGTTAACACTTCTTCTTTGCAGCCATTTGCGCACAAACACACAGCCGATTGTGTAGAAGCAGACGGACACATGCAAACACACAAACCAAACACGGGCTGTCACTCAAAGCTGCACACAAAATGCTCCCAGTCAGGCAGACAGAGATTCAAAATGGCTGACAGTTGGCTGCGTATATAGGGCTGTGAGTGTGAGTGTGTGTGTGTGTTTGGGAACAGAGTGGCTGAGTGTTTTGTGTTGACTGAGATGCTGGCAGTGTACCAGTGACGGATCCATACAGATGTCAAAGAAAGGCTGCTCTGTTGGGCAGAGGAGAGATAGTCAAAGGGTCCCAGGTCGCCATCTTGGAAGTTGACTGGATAATAAGCTGCGCCCAGCCAGGCCCGGTGCTGCCTTCCCAACATGTCGGCAGGGCAATAAGAGGTGGGGGGGGGGGGCTGCTGGAGTCACACTATCCAGGGACCTCTAGCTTTAATCTACCCTTTTTTATATTCATACATGTATCCAAGTGTTGTTGACACACTACACAACCGGCTGCTTAATTAAGACTTTGCCTCCATGACTTTGGCCACAGTTTTAGCTGTTTTACCCACGCTGCTCTGGTACTAAAGAAATAACTATGCACAAAAAAGAGGCCTTTACTTGATGTTTGGGGAGATCTTCCTCAGATCTTGACTTGAAGGGTAAAACTCAAATGTCTGCTTTTACATTGTCCTGTAGTTCAAGAGCAAGTGACCCTTACTGACATCTAGTGGTTAAGCACAACCCGTCAACATGGCATTAGCAGCCACTTCTGGTCTCACTTATTTCAAACCTCTTATGAAATGAAAACACATAGTTGAGCGTCTACAGTCATCAGTGCACTTCTTCCACTTTCCTTTTTTTTTGTCGAAATCTTTCCATGTGAAAAGAAAGATATTTTAGATTAAAGATGATAGATTTCTCCTTGATAGTTCTAATTATTACCAAGGTCCAGTATTAACTAGACTCAGATTTTATATGTAAAAAGAATGTTCACATTTCCTAGAAAAGACTCCAAACCGAGTAAAGGGAAGACACGGGTGGTCCAGGGCTTTGCTCAGATGTGTTGTTCCTCCTCTCCCCTGCAGCTCTGTCTGGAGGCCTTCAGGGTCAGAGCACCTCCTCAGTCAGCTCGGAGATCAAGTCTGAAGACGAAGGAGACGAGAACCTCCTTGAGGGCCCCAAGTCCATGGACCCCAAGAAGGAGGACTTGGACAGCAAGGATCTTAAGTCTATTGAGAGGTCAAGATCTAGGTAACCCCGCCTAAATGTCAGACGTTCGCTTCCATCAAACCCCTCAGCCGGGCTGGAAACCCCCTTTTCCTGAAACACCTCCCTGCTCAGAGTCCGTCCTGCGTTCATTCTCATATATGGAAAAAATAATAAAGACTCTCCATCCTTGGTAACTGTGTATATATACACGGTTTACAGACATGTTTTAGTGGGATTGAATGCAGTAGAGGACGAGGAGCGGTCAGTGTTTCAGGAACCAGCCTCTGGACTTTGATGAAGTGATCAAGTGTGATGAGAAGCAGCTAAATGCATCAGTACAGAGACCTTTCTGTGCCGTGCGCGGCGGGCCTCTCCCGCCTCTCTGGGCTGGGCTGCTCACAGAGGACCGGAGACTCCCGCTGGCCGCGCGGCGCCGCCTTGACCCGCTCGGTCTCTCCACGGCCTTGGGCCTGGTTTTAGCTGCTGCTCACACAACAGAGTAGAGCCCACAGTCCACATTCCCCAAAGAAGCACTGTCTCTGCCTCCGGGGGCCGGGAAAGTCAGCACCAACAGAAGCTGGTACGGAGGAGTGGGCTTTCAAACGGCGCCGCTGCGCCTTCAGCCCACTCGCCATTGGATTCCAAATGGATGAGTAATCAGAACTGTTGGTTTTTCCCACTCCGGACGCAGCTAAACAGCCTTCACCCCTCTAAGGATAAACAAGCTGTTTATCTTGGTTCTTTTTAACCTGGAGGAGGCCTGAAATATGAAACATTCGGATCCCGAACCCAGATTTTCTACATGGAGGCGGCCATGATGTTGATGTTGATGTTTCAAAATGTTTGAAAAGTGTTTATAAGGTTTGGTGAAACAACTTTACAGGGCTTGGGAACATGTGATGTCAGAAAAGAGGGATATCTGCCTTTATTCTCACTTTCCGTAGTTTCTCACTTTTAGGTCTGAAAGCGAGACATCCAGAGGCAGTAACACTGCCAGTCAAAAACAAAAGTCATCACCTGGATTTCGCTAATAAGCAAATAGGTAAAAGTCTCCCATGAGGATAATCATGGGCAATTTGTAGGCATTAAGCAAAAAAAAAAATTGAAACTAAAGCGATAGTGGATAAAAAATTCTCCACTATCTAAAATCTGGAATAGTATTTTGGTAACAATTGGAAGAACTCACAGCTGTGTGTGATGGTGAAACACGCTCAGTGCAAAGGGAACTTAAGGATCCTGTAACTAAACGGCTGAGCAGCCTTGAGAAGATAACTTATAAGTGATTTGCTCAGGAGTGTAAAGATTAGACTCTAGAACAATGAAGCCCACATTCACCCGGTTTCAGAGTGATGACCCCCATCATGCCTTGTGAGGGGGGTGCTGTGATCTGGACTTGCTGCTCACAGACTAAGGTCTGAATACTAAATGGTCAGGGTTATTTTCTCACCTGAAATGGGGAAATAGTGGTTCAGGGACCAGGAGAGAGTCCAGACCTTCCATCATAGCTACAAATGAATCCAACTCTGTTTTTGGATGGGCAGCGTTATTACTGAATCTCCAAGCTACACTCCTGTTGTCTGATGAGTTGCCTCATAACTAATCGAATTATTGGTTAGAAAAAAGGAAAATGGCACCAAAGTGCTTGGGCTCCTCGGCGTTCCGTCTTCCCAAACCCTCTCGTTGTTTGGCCACTTTAAGTCGCTGCACCAGCCTTCATCCTCCACTCCTCCCCCCACTCTCCCCCCCCCTTCGCTCTCCCTGGTTTGTCTCTCCAGCAACAATGACGACGAGGACCTGTCTCCGGAGCAGAAGATGGAGCGGGAGAGGGAGCGGCGGATGGCCAACAACGCCCGGGAGCGCCTGCGCGTCCGCGACATCAACGAGGCGTTCAAGGAGCTGGGCAGGATGGTCCAGCTGCACCTCAAGAGCGACAAGCCCCAGACCAAGCTGCTCATCCTGCACCAGGCCGTGGCCGTCATCCTCAGCCTGGAGCAGCAAGTCCGAGGTGGGTCAGTCGGCCGCCCACTGACGGCCGGAGTTCACGCACAGAAGTCAGGCCTCACTGTAGCTAGTTCAGATTTAAAAAGGAAAACTAGATCGATATGATGGAGGCGGCTGTAGTGTTGGCGGAGCTCCAGAAGAGGGCAGCAGGAGCACCTGTTGAACATGGAAATGGATTCTGTAAGCACACACAGGTTGACTAAAGACACTCCCTCTCTCTGCCCAGAACGGAACCTGAACCCCAAGGCGGCCTGCCTGAAGCGCCGGGAGGAGGAGAAGGTCACCGTGACGTCAGACGGGACCCCCCTCTCGCTGGCCGCCGCGCACCACGCCGCCGCCGCCGCCATGGGCGACGGACCCAACCCCATGGGACAAATGTAAAACGCAGCAACATCTCCTCCCCCTGAATGGTCAGAAGATTTCACTTATACACTAATCTGCTGTTGTACCTGCAGCTCAAGGCAAACAATCGGGTTTTTCTTTTTTTTTTTTCTTTTCTTTTTTAAAAAGACAGACCAGAAACTTCTATCTGCTCAGCCAATTCGTACTTTTTGCCCACCCCCCCCCGGGCGTCAAAAAAAGAAAAAAAAGAAGGCAGTGGAGGTTTCTGTTGTCAGGGTGAGAATATGTTCAGCTGTAAAAGATGAGCAGGGTGTCACCGGCTGTCGCTGGGTTTGAGAAGACGCATTTGCATAAAGACTGACGTCCACTTTAGTGTTATCAGGAACACACTCCCACACATTCCACGTGTCCTCTCGCAACCTGAGAGCGACCAGCCCGCTGTGAACATACCCCAAACGGTTCAAACCCACACCCACAGCTTCAGCCGTGACACAGGTGAAATTCTCCTGATTTCCACACGTTTTGACGCACATCCGTCCCCTTTAAAACGGAGCCGGTGGTGTTCACGCGGCTGAAAGCAGAGCCCGAGAACACCAGTCACTTTCTGTCTGCTCTGGGTACATTTGAACAACAGATTGGCCGTAAGTGTGATTTTAATGTGTGACTGTGAGCGTGTGCTTCCTGTCCGTCGTCCCGTCTTTGTGTTTGCATGCTGGACTGCGGAGCGCAGAAAAAAGGTGGAGAGGAGCTCATTTTCCGCAGGTGTTTGAGGAGAACCGAGCGTGGCCCAGGACCAGGCGGTTCTTGCCTTTTACACCTTTGCCTGGAAGCCGGGAATGTGATGCTTCCAGTAGTTTAAGGCAGCCTGAGGCCTCCAATGACATGGCTAACGTCAAGAAGCTCCTAGTGTGACCACAGATCTGTCACTTCCTGGAGTAGAGATGCTTGCATGACTCCTCTTTTAATGGTCCTTGTTTGATAATAATGATGAGCCATAAAAAAGATGAAATAACTGCAGTTTTTCTTTTGTTTGCTAAAGTAAAGCGCTCGGCAGGCTGCTCCAGAGCCTCCCCCCCGCCCTCCTCTTCCTCCTCTTTAAGTGTTTGTGATGTGGGCTGCTTTCCCCCCTTCCGACACTTTTTCCATTCCCTCCCCAGGTCCAAGGTGCCAGAGTTCATCAAGATGATGAGTGACCACTTCCTCTGACGGCGCTCCGTCTCCACGACGGCCCGGCAATCGATCCAACCCGTTGTCTGCTTCAGCCCGACCAATCGGTTTCTCTGGAATTTCGGCCTGACCAATCAGATCAGCCTCTGCCTCTCCTGTCATCCGTCGCCTCCGACCCCCGTCTGTGCCATCGTCTCCTCCGTCTGTCGGGAAGAGTAGGGCGGCGCCGGGCGCGGGGACGCCGCACACGGCTGCTCCCAGCCGCCAGCTTTTGATACCAAGTGACAGAAACGGACTAAAGTCTTCATCCAAGAAACACCTCCTTCTTGTACAACACGTTTTATCAGCATTCCCAGTTCCGAAGAACAAAAAGGTTCTATATGAATATATAAAGTTGAAAAAAAAAAATATACGGATATATGAAAATATATTGAAAAAAAAGGACTTTTTAGAAAGCGAAACTTGACGCGGGCGGGGAGGCAGGTCAGGGTGGGGAGGGGTGCTCGGAATGGAACAAAACATATCACAAAGTGTTTAAAGAGATTTTTTAAAGCATCTTTGCGCAGCTGCACCTGCAGCCCAGCGCGCCGCTGACTGAATGGCAATCTAACGCCGCACTGTGGATGAAGCCGTGCCTGATCCCCTCCTGGATGCAAAGTCAGACAGACACACACACGCTAAGGTGGACGGCCCCCCCACCGAGAGCAGGACCGGCTCCCGGGAAGGCCCACAACGCCTCCACCAAGAGGTCAGGAAGCAAAGCTCTGCCCGGCTCCGCCTCTCCCAGAGGCCCCGCCCACCACCGCCAGGAGGGGAGGAGCCCCCTCAAACGCCTCACCACCACAGGCTGTCAAAAAGAGGAGTGGGGGGGGACAACCGGGGGCAAACTGCGCTCCTCCTCCGGCCGGAACGTTGATCTTTTAGCGTGCCGGTGTAAAACAATCTGAACGGTGGCGTCTGTTGTTCGTGCTTCATGCTGTTAGCTACGTCCACCCTCCTCACACCTCACGCAGACTTGTACAAACTCATGACTTTGTAGTCCAAAATAAAAACAAAAAAACAACAACAACAACAACAAAAAAGAAACGCTTAGACATGAGTGCCCAAACGACCCGAGGATATCTACAGGAAGTCAACCATCCGCTCAAGAATCAGCCAATCAGAGAGGGACAGCGGAGGGAGGGAGGCGTGGAGATAGCAGGGCGGAGAGATGGGCGGGCGGGCTCCTTAGCTAAGACCCCCCCCTCCGTTGAGAAGTCCAGAAACAGAGCAGAGTTCCCCAGTGGGGGGGTGAGCAGCTGAGGTGGAGAACAGTTCTGGGAGGGAGTCCATTTCCAGGTTCTAGCACATTCCCTGAGTCGCGCAACTCAAAGGCTGGGGAGGTCGCCACAGCCCGGGGGGGGGGGGGGTGGGGCACCCTGGGGAGTCCCCGGGGGCCCGGGGGAGGTGGCAGGGGAAAATCCAGGGGGGTGGGGGGGTGTCTGGGGCGTAGCAGAGGTCAAAGCATTCCTGCGTCGGTTCATTTTCCCCGATTCAAACCTCAGACCTCTCCCCTGCCAGCGTCCAGGCGGGCCGGGGGGGGCTTCGGGCTGACACCGCAATCAGTTTTATGTTGTTTTAGTGCTTTAGCCCACCTTAGGCACTCAGGTTCTATCGGGAATTCTGCATTTCCACAGGTAGAAATCCTGTTAAGGAGGTGGACTGAGAGGGGGCTATGAACAGGCCCAAAAGCCAGTCCAGTGGGTCCAGCAGTCGGCCTGCAGTGGACACAGTCTGGGTCAGCTGAGGAAAGATGTGAGCAGAGCCAGAGCAGACAGGCTTAGAAGGTGGGTGATTAAGCAGCCCCCACCCCCCCAGCATCAATCAGGACGCTCCGGACTGCCTTTGAGAACGTTTCCCGTTGTCTGGTGTCAATCTGGAAGCCCCTCTCACCTCGCTTTGAACTCCTTCTCAATCCAGACCTGTGTTTGCCCCCCCCCCCCCCCCCCTTCCCTTCCATCTGTCCCAGGTCTGTACTGACACTAGCCTTATGAGCCCTGAACCGTAGCCCTGACCCCTCTCCCCAGCCCCCCCCCCCCCCCCCCCCCCACCCCCCCCAACAGATGCAATTTGAACATTCACACGTGTACCAATGTGCCTTTTTAGAGTTCATATCATTCGAGTTGCCAGAGGAGGACATTTACCTGGTCTTTTAATAGGATGCAAGCTTAGGGAAACCTGTTCTTAGTCATTAGGTTCTATGCAGTCAGGTTTTTTACCAGACCTGGGAATTTAAAAAAAGCTAAAAAGGAAAAAAAAAAAAGTATTTTTTGGATTAAAAAAAAGTAAACTGTATTTAATCTACTGTACACTTATATGTAAGTAGACAGCGTGTTCTGGCTCCGGGCCAATGGGACAGACGCTTAGCCACCACCCCCCCGATCCCTCCCAATCCCCCGTACCCCAACCCCACCTTCCTATGCCAAACCCCAACCTGGTTTCCTCGGTGAACAACGCGTCTCTTCTTGTATTATAGCTTATCAGCCTTTTATCAATATTTGATCGGCTTGTCTGTGAGCCCATGTAGTCTTCAGTACTCAGTGTGTGGTCGTACGTTGTAGAGCTCTTTTTGTTCCCCTCTCCTCTTGCTCTGTTTTTTAAAAAAAAGAATCTTTTCTCTTATGACTTTTTTTGTCTGTTCTGGTTTACATGTCAAATGCGGAAAATGTAACAAAAAAAAACACAAAAAAACACACAAAAGAAAAAAAAAAGGAACTCAAACACCACAACTTGCTATCCGACTGCATCGTTCTCATTTCCATGCGTTCGAGATCCCAACCATTCAACAGGACGGCACAGAAAAACTGGAAAAGAATCTATTTGAATAAATCAATCTATATATAAATGTACAAAAATATATACGATATATTACAAGGGTGCCGTTTCTGTTCATGTTTTTATGGTTATCAGTTGTCTGCTCGGGGGGGTTTGTCTGAAGACTGAACTGATGAGGCCCCTCGGTGTTCCACATCTTCAACTGACTTCCTTGTGTTCCGTGTTGTTGCCATGACAACACCTTCTGACCAGTCGGGCACCCTGCGCAGGACTTTTAAAAACAAAAAAACACACAAAAAACGGACGGGAGCACGGCTGACGACACACAGACGTTTGTAAATTGTATGCAACAAAATGGCAAACTTTACCATTATTTTAAAATGTGTATGTAAAAGTTATATTTTTACATGTAGACTGTTGTTATTTTGTGTTAGAAATATGTTGTACCCTTTCGTTTAGTTTTGATCCTTTTTTTTTTTTTTTGGTTTAAAAGATAAAACGTAAAATTCAGTGTGTGTTTAAGAAATGTGTCACATTGAAAATGTAGAGAGGTCAAAGGATCAGAAATCACTTTTTTTTTTCTATTGGTCATTGTCATGTTTATATCTGTTGGGGACATTTCTGCGGGTTCCATCGAGGAATGGGATCGTTGTTGAATTCTCCATGACTCAGAACATTACCATTTTGGGTTGTATTTTTTGCAGAGCTTGGTGTAAATAGGTCATCAGCCATTTTTCTGTGAGGTGAAGATTTGCCATTGAGACACGGTGGTCATGACGGTGAACATCTTTCTGTTCTGTTTTCAGTTTTTTTTAGTGAGGTTGTATTTGTCTGGTTCCAGTAGCCAGGTGCCAACTTTGGGTTGTGGTGCTCGGTAGTGTTCGTGGTTTGGGTTTCTCCGGAGTCAAACTGTCGTCTTAGCTCCACAACCAGCCGACCCCAGTTTGTTCAGAAAACCAAGAAATTAAATGGAAAAAAAAGCTTGTTGTTTTTTGCAATAATAAAATCCTCTACAAAATTTAAAGAGTTTGAGCTCACCACTTCATTTTCGACTAAATTTAGACCAATTACGACTAATTCTTTGCTGCATTTCCAAAGAGTGGGATTGACCTCTGTGGCTGGGCTCTGACCGATGTGCTTTTGTTTTCATCAGTGTTGATCGAATGAAAAAGATTTAGAAAAAGAGAATAAAAAAACATCAGTACCTGATTCCGAATGAGCAAACGGAGGTTTTGGAAAAGATTGGAGTGTTGCTCATAGAGAGGAGCGGGTCGTCTGCATACAATCTCTTCAGCTGTTTCCCCAAAAAAAAGAAATCAGATCATGAGCTTGGCAGTTTCAGCCATGTTTTTAGTGTTTGCCATTCAAATTGAGCTTTTAGAGAAAAGGAAAAGCTGCTCTGACTGGGACCTAGGTCAAACACTAGGCTTGAATCTGTCAGTGTAAGTGCTAATTGTATTTTTTAAGTAATATTATTTTTGCAATGTTTTATTTCTCGTTTTCTTTGTTGTATAATCAAGTCATCTCCCAAATGACTGTATCCTCATTTTTATGTTAGCCCTGGTGTTTCTATTAGCCAAACTGTTACCGACGTTTCTTTTTCCTCCTTGTTGTACATACACACCTCATTTCTCTTTTTCAGTGACTGTGCCATGAGCTTTGTAATCTGTTACTCTGTACCAGTTTAACTGCAATAATGAGTTGAATTGAAAATGGCCGCTCCTGTCCTCTTTCTTTTTGTCCTTTTTCCTTCAGCTTCAGACTTAAACGAATGCTTGCCCAGCCGACCGACACACATCTGACACCTTTAATCTAGAGTTTGTTTTTAAGTGACTCAAACTAAAAGATGGCTTAAAGTCTACCAAACACAAACCATGTTGTGCACATTGTTTAGTTCCATTTATTCCCTCACAGGGAAAATAAAAACAAGGTCAGGTTTTAAAATGAGTGACCACACCTTCAGATGAACAACAACACAAGTTATTAACAAATCTACTAGCCCACCGTAGAAAAACAAGGAAGATTTTTAGTACAGAAAGCTATTTAAAGCTGAAAATGTTAGTTATTTATTGGTTAAATTCCTAAATGAAGGATCTAAATGATCCTTTTTTCTCAGAGTAATCCTTAAACTTCATCTCTCTGTTCTTGATAACAGCCTCCATTCCTCCTCTGCTACTTTTTCTCTCCTCTCTGAGAGTTTCTGTGGTTATTTAGTCCCACAGAGTCTCCAGGTGTTCTTTCTCTGGGTTAAACTTGTGTGTGATGGGTCTGAGTCTCCTTTGGCCGGCTCCTCACCAGCTCCAGTCCTCCAGCTGCTGGTGGACGTCTGCAGGCCTCAGTAGCTTCTCTGCTCCCCTTAAGCTTCTCCCATCCGTCCCTCTGGAGACTCTGAAAACTCTGATCCTGAAGCCTTCATGTATGATCAGCAGAGCTCTTCCTGCTGTCTTACTTTGGTCTGCTGCCTCTCTGATGGCTCATTTTGGAAACACGACTCTCTGTAGCACACTGAGACACTTTGTGTCTTTCTTCGTCTCAGAGAGCATCAAGAAGACCTTTACTCATATTCTTTCTTTGCTCTATAAATCAGGATTTCAAACCCATTTCCCATTTTTCTCCCCAAATGTCATTCCACTCTCTGAGTTTCTCTGAGAACTCAGAAAAGCATCAAACAGAACATTCAGCCACTAAATCTCTCTATTCTGCTCAGGAATATCAGGAAATAAATCGAGTTTACATCTTAATAAAAAATAATAATTTTCTTTGGTGTTTTTTCATTTTTAGTAAAACAGTATGAAATGCATTGGTAACAATTTGAATTTTATTTTAAAAATTATTTTTGGCTAAAGATCTTCTACTTAGTGGTGGATCAACCATTACAGAAATAATACAGGTTTTTTGGTAGCGGTAGGTAAATGTTTCTTTAGAGAAGCTGTGGCAGAAACCTCACACGGGGGGGTTGGTCCGACACATTTATTAAGCACTGAATGTCATAACATTTCATTAGCTTATAAAATTGCCATCTCTATCTCACATCATTGTGGAGGGGTATTTTAATCCGCACCTCTCAGGAGGCGTCCCATAAACGCTTTGTTTTGTTTTGGAGCGGTGCTGCAGTGGATTTGCCACTGAGAGG